AGAAGGGTTCTGCAGCAGCAGCAGCTGCTGCTGCTGCTGCCAGGACTCATCGCATTCCTGCTGCTGCCGCTGCTGCTGCCAGGACTCATCGCATTCCTGCTGCTGCTGCTGCTGCTGCTGCTAGTATTCATCTCCTTGGTGCTGCTGCTGCTAGTATCCAGGTTCTTCCTGCTGCTGCCGCTGCTGCTGCTAAAATTTATCTTCTTCCTGCTGCTGCTGCTGCCGCCGCTAATACTCATCTTCTTCCTGCCCTTGCTGCTGCTGCTGCTGCTGCTGCTGCCGCATGAGCTTGAACCTCGAGGGGGGCCTCTTGGGGGCCCCCCCGGGGGTTTCATTTTGCTGCGGGGGCCTCCCAGGATTAATTTGGGTCAAGTCTATTTGCCTTTCAGTTATTGTGTCTTTTACGGCGCACCTCCAGCTGTCGCTGCTGCTGCTGCCGCTGCTGCTGCTGCTGCTCCTGCTGCTGCTCAGTGCTGCAGCTGCAGGCTGCGGCTCTGGGGAGGGAGGAAGCCTCCCCTGCTGCTGCTGCTGCTCAGCAGCAGAAGCAGCAGCCCCAGCAGCTGCATCACTGCCAGCAGCAGCAGCATCAGCAGCAGCAGCAACAGCAGCATCAGCAGCAGCAGCAGCAGCAGCAAGTTTTGTGGGCGGCGGAAACTCAAAGTCATCTTCAGCTGCGCCCTCAGGCAGCTCTTCTCTAATTTCTACAAAGCCGTCAGGCGTGAGCTGAACTTTGCTGCCGTGTGCTGCTGCTGCTTCTCCTGCTGCTGCTGCTCCCGCTGCTGTTCCTTGGCCTCCTGCTGCTGCTGCTGCTGCGTCCCACAGCGCGCTCCCAGCATCGCCCAGCAGCAGCTGCGAAGCAGCAATGTCACTCTGCAGCTTCTGCAGGTGCTGCTGCAGCAGCAGCTGCCTCCGCTGCAGCACGCCGATGCAGCCAGCAGCAGGAGACAGCGGGGGCCCCTCATCTTCTGCTGCTGCTGCTGCTTTTTTTGCTGCTGCTGCTTCTCCTGCTGCTGCTGCTTCTCCTTCCCCCACGGCTCCTCCTTTCCCCGCGGCTGCTGCCCCCCCCTTCCCCTCCTTCCCTGCT